ATAAAAGTAATAGCGATAATAATGGTGATAACGATAGTAATGAGGATATTGTTGAAAATGAAATGATGATGAGACTATTAATAATGATATCAATGATAATGGTGATATAATGATAATATTAATTCTAATGGATATTATGATGATGATGATGATATTAATAACAATGATAACAATGATAATAATAAAGATGATACTACTAACACTGATACTAATACTAATACAAATGCCAGTGCTACTACTACTACTACTGCTAATGATAATGATAATGATAATGATCATAATAATAATAGTAATGATAAGCAGTAGTAGTAATAATGATGATGATCATAATAATAATAATAGTAATAATAATAATAATAATGATAATAATAACAAAAATAATATTAATAAAAATAATAACAGCAGTAATAATAATGATAGTGATAATAATGAAAATAATAATAACGATGATTATAATAATAATAGTAATAATGATAATAATAATTATAATAATGATAATGATAACAATAATAATACTAATAATACTAATAATAACAGTAATAACAATAACAATGATAATAATGATAATAACGATGGTAATGATAATAATGATGATAATGATAATAATGATGATGGTTATGATGATGATAAGAATGATAATGATAATAATGGTAATAATGAGAGTGATGATGCTGAACAGTAATAATCATCTCCCCCACCCCCGCCAAAAAAAAATAAAAAAATAAAAAAAGATAATAATAGTAAAAAAAAAAGGCACAATCGCCGAACACCACCGCACGCACAATCGCGAGCGCAGTCACAGCCAGACACCCCACCCCACCCCCAGCATCTCTTCAGACCACGATCCCGACTCACCCATGGTCTAATGTTTCTGTTAGGACACAAAATGGACTTAATATATCACGCGTGGAAAATCTCCTGTTCACTATTGTGTGTTCGCTTTTAAGCCGTCCGCGAGCACGACGGGGAAAAACCTGCGTCATAAATCTGGACTAAAACCTTTGGTCGTAAAACCTTACGACTGGAGGAAGAGGAGGAGGAGGAAGAGGTAGAGGAAAAGGTGGTGGTGGAGGAAGAAGAGGAGGAGGAGGAGTAGAAGGTGGTGGTGGGAGAGGAGGAGGAATAGGTGGTGGAGGAGGTGGAGGAGGTGGAGGAGGTGGAGGAGGTGGAGGAGGTGGAGGAGGTGGAGGAGGTGGAGGAGGTGGAGGAGGTGGAGGAGGTGGAGGAGGAGGAGGAGGAGGAGGAGGAGGAGGAGGAGGAGGAGGAGGAGGAGGAGGAGGAGGAAACGAGGAGGGGGATGATGATGATGATGATGATGAGGAGGAGGAGGGAGGAGGAGGAGGAAGAGGAGGAGGAGGAGGAGGAGGAGGAGGAGAAGGAGGAAGAGGAGGAAGAGGAAGAGGAAGAGGAAGAGGAAGAGGAAGAGGAAGAGGAAGAGGAAGAGGAGGAGGAGGAGTAGGATGTGGTGGTGGTAGTGGTGATGGCGATGGATGAGAAGGAAGAAAGGAAGTAGGAGACGGAGGAAGTGAGGAAGAAGGAGGAGGAGGAGAAGGAGGAAGAGGACGGGGAGGAGAACGAAGGGGAGGAAGAAGAATTATTGGGAGGTGTAAAAAAAGTGAAGAGGTGGGTAAGATGAATAAGAGGAAAGTAGAGACGGAAGGGGATAAGGATGATATAGAGGAGCAGAAGTGAGGATAAAAAGGAAGAAAAAAAAATAAAGCAGTGGGGGTTTTGGAGGCGAAGGATGGAAGGATAAAGAAAGGGAGAGGAGAGAGGAGAGAGTAAAATAAAAGGGGATGGAAGTAGGAAGAAAAGGAAGAGAAACGGAGGAGAAGAAAGAGGAATGGATTGGAATTAATAGGAAGAAATGGGGTATTAGGAAGAGGAGGAGGAAGAAAAAGAAGAAGAGTTAAGAAAGATGGAGAAGAAATAGAGAGAAATAGAGAGGAAAGAGGGGAAAGAAAGAAGACGAATAGGAAGAGGAAGGAGGGGAAGGCAAAGAGGAAGTGGCAAAAAGGAAAAAGTATAGGAAGAGGAGAGGGAGGAAGAGATGTGAAATGTAAGAGGGAAGAGGAGGAGGAAAAGAAGAAACTATAGGAAGAGGACAAGGACGATATGGAGGAGAAGAAGAAGGAGGAGGAGGAACAAGAAGAAAAAAATACAAGGAGGAGGAGGAAGACACAGAAGAAGGAGGGGGGGGGGAGGAGGTAGAGCTGGTAAGGCAAAAAGGAAGAAAATCCCAAGAGGCAGAAGAGCAATAGACGAAGGAGGAAGAGGAAAAAAATAGGAAGAGGAAAAGCAACTGAATCAGAAGGAGGTGAAAAAGGAGAAGGGGGGAGAGACAAGAAAAAAGGAGGAGAAGAGAAGAGGTAGAGAAAGGAGGCGAGATAAGGGAGGAAAGACGACGAGGAAGATGGAAAACAAAATAGAATAAAAAAGAAAAAAAAATGAAGAGGAAGAAGAAAGGAGGGGAAGGAGTAACAAAGGAAAAGGAGAAGGAGAAGGAACAGGAAAAAGCAGGGATAAAGGAAGGAAGTGGATAGCAAGGAAAAGAGGGAAGACGAGGAAGGGAAAGATGTCAGGACAATCACACAAACTATGAAAAAATACAATAACAGCAGAAAACGAAAAGGAATAATAACGATCATAATAATAATGATAATTATCCTACTACTACTACTAATGATAATAATAATAATAAAGAGTCGAAAGAGGAGGAGGGAGGAGGGAGGAGCAGGAGGAGGGGGGGGGGGGGGGGGGGGCGGCGGCGGCGGCGGCGGAAGTGGAGGAGAAGGAGGAGGAGGAGGAGGAAGAAGAAGAAGAAGAAAAGGAGGAGGAGGAGGAAGAGGAGGAGGAGGAGGGACGATCCACTTCTAGATCATCCTCCTCCTCCTCACCCATCCGCCTCCTCCTCTCCTCCTCTCTCCGCCGCCTCATCTTCTTCTTACACTTCTTCCTCTTCTTCCTCTTCTTGCTTATCTTCTTCTTCCTGTCTTATCGTCTTCTGTCTTCTTTTCTATTCCTTCCTTCTTCTTCCGCTTACTCTTACTCGTCCCTCTTGCCTCTTTATTTCTTCTTCTTCTTGCTTCTTCTTCCTTCGTCTTCTTCTCTATCTTATTCTTCTTCATTTTCTCTTGTCTTTCTTCTCTTCTTCTTCTTACTCTTCTCCTTCTGGCTTCTGCCTGCTTCTTCTGCTGCTTCTTGCTTCTGGGCTTCGTCGTCCGTCTATTCTTGCGCACTTGCCTCCTCATCCTGCGTCTTCTCATATTTGTCTTCGGTTCTTCGTCTGCTCTGGGTGTATGCTCCGCCGCTGCTTCGGGCTCTTCCGCGTCTTTGAGTAGCGGTATAGAAGACACACGGGAACGCAGTAGATGATTTAAAAAGCGTGCCGGACAAACAAGCTTCATACGTCAGGATGCAAAAGAGTATAACGACCAAGTTGACGTTAGCACACACTGCCCAAACATTACACGATTGGATGAGCCATTCCCCCAGACATGCGGCACCTAACTACAAAACTACAAAACTAACCTACAAGACAACTAGGCAAGCAATAGGACCTTGACGGGTTACGGCACTATCACGCAGCGAAAAACGCCACATGTCCAAATATCCCCTGTCCCCATTCATATCCACCCTGACTCTCCTATAACATCACCCCCCCGAGGGTGCACCGCCAGGCGGCAGAGAGAGGCCCCGGCCCTGATCACCGAGGCGACTGGCGTATTAGCCGGCAGAGCCCCGGACAGATACCAGACGAGGAACGCGACCAACAATCGCCGGCGCGCAGCAGGCTGTTGGAGCAGCAGGTATGGTTTCCCACGAAAGCAATGAAGAAGGAGACCGTGGCGGGGGGGAGGGAGGGGGGAGGGGTTGAGGGAGCGATGCTTAAGGTGAAAGTCTTAATTTAGGTCTTCCAAAAGACATATGGGGTCTTAGCTCGGCAGTGCGCAGGATAAAGAGGCCTTAGTCGGGGTCTAGACTAAAGGCTTCGCGGGATTGCACCAGAATCTGCTCGGGGCCTTCGCCAAGATTTTGATATGTTCCTTTGGCGGCGCAGCTGGGCGGGCTCGAACCCGTGAGGGGGCCTCCATTATCACCAAATCTATGAAACAAGGGAGCTCTGTGTGTGTGTGTGTGTGTGTGTGTGTGTGTGTGTGTGTGTGTGTGTGTGTGTGTGTGTGTGTGTGTGTGTGTGTGTGTGTGTCTGTGTGCGTGTGTGTGTGTGTGTGTGTGTGTGTGTGTGTGTGTGTGTGTGTGTGTGTGTGTGTGTGTGTGTGTGTGTGTGTGTGTGTGTGTGTATGTGTGTGTGTATGTGTGTGGTTGCGTGCGTGCGTGTGTGTGTGTGCATCATAGTATGTTAATTTAGCTACGTATAGCCTGAACCATATATATATTGTTTCATTTATGACGCTTAGCAGTTGTTAACACAGCATGGGAACTGATAAACAATAACATTATCCTTCGCAATTCAAGAATTTGTATAGCCTATTTGAGACAGTGTATACAATATGCTACACATGACTACACAAGATTGCATATAATATCGAAAATTTGAAAAGGAAAGACCCTTATAGAAGGGATTAATTACATAATTTTTTTCTAATAGGATTGGTATCTGCGCTGCTTCTAGGTTAATCCCCTCAAGAAAGATTTCCGAAATCAACTAATCAACTTTTTGCTGTAATAAAGGGAGCTGATTACGAAGAAAAGATTAGGTATTATGTATCTTGGTTCCCGGCGAACGCTATGACATATAGTCATATTTCGAGAACTATTATATAAATGAATTATTTCTGCGCTAAAACTATAGCCAGGATATTTTATATTATGTGTGAACGCGTTATTTATAGTTTTTTTTTATAGTTATTTATGTGATATGCGTTCTGTTATCTGTTCACTCTGACCACTTACGCCCTTACCTACGCCCTTACCTACGCCCTTACCCACGCCCTTACCTACGCCCATCCAGAGACTAACCGAGCCCCTTCTCCTGACAG